GCACCGCGCGCGGCCCCCCGCCAGCGCCACCTGATAGTCCTCTACACGCGCGACAGCAGCCTGGGCGTGGCGACCGCCAGCGAGGCGAGGCGGAGCGCATGGTACAACACCCTGCTCGAGGTGCACCCTGCGGGTGAGTGAGGCCAGAGCCCCTCGCGGATGAGTCCGGGCGGTGGGGTGGGAAGTGGATTGTGAATTTGGTGTATCCGTGGCCTGCCCCTTCCCAGGCCATCGAAAGTTCAAATATTAAGTACTTACAGGCCTTCACTTCTTTTTTCAATTATTTAAAAATAATTATTTTATTTATTTTGATCAGGGAATGGCGGAGAAAGAAAGCCACCAGGTCAGGACCATGGTGAACCATGGTCCACCATGTGGAGAGTCCAGCACCCTTAACCACCAGGCTAGCTGCAGGCACCTATAGGTCTTCACTTCTCAGAGCACAGTAACTCCAGCCTCCTGACCTAGGAGATCCCTGTGACCACCCCACTGTCCCTAGGTTCCAGCTCCCAAGACGACCCCAGGACCTGTATCCTTGGTACATTCCTGGACATCTGGCCTGTAACACTTCGGCCTAAAGGTCTGGGGCGGACACAGGGCCTGGGCAGCGGTGGCTACCTCTTGTGCATGGATTCTGGGGCCCTGACCCTGCTATGTGAGCCAGGGGCCACGGGTTCCAGAGTCGTCTGGATAGTGCCACCACCTGCCCTGTGCTTTCCTCTGCTCAGCTTTGCCATGTGGCCACGCAGACTCTTTCTTCTTCCTGGAGCTTGGACGCTCAGCACCCACAGGTCCCAGGGAGCTATGGCTGCAGACATTTGATGCTGTGGTGGCCCAAAGCATTCACGAGATGGTCCTGGCCGCTGTGAAGCGACTTGGGAGTGATGCTGCAGGTGGCAGGGCTGAGTCACTGCCCAGGGATCCCCCAACAAACACCTCCAGACCCTCTGTTCACCAGCTTTATGAAAGCCCAGCCACTGCGGCCCAATCAAGTGGTTTGAGCCGTCTGCGATGCTTGGGTAGGAGGATCGAGCAAATCACTGAGACCCTGATGAGGCTGGGGACTGCTGCCTCCTACCCCAAGGAGTTAGATTGGAGTGGAGGTTAAGTAACTATGGAAGCTGGGAGAGACTATGAGCCCATGGGGGGGTGGAGAAGTGGGTTGCTACATAGTGATGGCATCCCCAGGCCTGCTTCTGGCTGCCGCCAGCACTACTACCTGCCAGGCGCTCCCAAACTGGGGGGAGCACTGGATACGCGCCCATGGATCACTTTCCCCCAGGGTCCTTTTCCTTGAGCTCCCTGCCCCATTCCTACACACCCAACATTGGAGAGCCTCAACCGTGGTTCTGGGCTGCTTATCATGCCGTTGGGGGAAGCTGGGAAACAGCGGAGGTCCTGCCCTGCTCGCTGCCGTCATCAGAGCTGGTTGGGGAGTATGTGTGCATTGGTTATGGGACCAACGGCTACACCAGAATGGGCATTTGCCAGGCCCAACAGCTGCCTCAACTATGTGGACCTGGACTTGATACTTCCTCTGAAGGTATGTGGCAATGACCCAGGGGCAAGCGCTCTCCCTCCAGATAGCTATGCAGCCATTGAGTTCTAGAACCTCAGGGGGTGCAGGTGAGGAAACCCGGCAGCCCTGCTTCCTCTAGTTAACTGATGAATGGGGAAGGTGGTAGGGAAAATAGGGCAAAGTTACCAGTGTCCCCCTTCCTTATGCCTCCTAACCTCCGCACCCTGGCCAGGAGGGGGACAACAAAGGCCCAGCCACCCTCTTGTAAGTGTGGCTTGCAGTGGCACTGAGCTGTACCTTCTATCCCTCCTTCTGCTGAAGAAATCCACAGGAGGTTCCCCTGAGAAGTTAAGAATCTTTTAAGGGAGAAAATTCTAGACCCCCAGCCTCTGCCCACCCAGGCAAACTATCAACTTTTGGGCTTTCCCAGCTGAAGTCTGATCCTCTGTTTCCTTACAGGATTCATATGGTAAACACTGGAGTCTCAGCTTGGCTTTGGCAGTTCCACTGATAAACTGTCACCTTGTTGCTGATGAAGACATGGTCTGTCCCTAACCACAAACCTGCAATGCATTGTGTGTCTCCTTTGAGCCAAAGAACACCCCCACCCAGCCCCAGCGCTGAACCTCTGGGCCCTCAGTACAAGGATGGGGGCACCAGGGACCTTACTGATATTGCCTCCCAAAAATGACATGCCTTCCCTTGCTCCTTAGCTTGCCTCTCCCAATTCCAGTCACGTGCTCACACAATCCTTCCTTTCCCAGAGCTGATGGAGCTGATGTTTCCTATACCTTGGGCCCCAGCACTGTACTGTGGCCACCCACCCACTCATTAAAGGTGCCCTGCTCTGTCAGCCTAAGATGCCGTAGGTGGCTGGATTCCCTCACTCCACTATAGGGAGTAGCAATGAGCAATAAGGACTTGAGAGGATTGCAGCCATAAAGGAAGAGATCCCAGCCCTGCCTCTATGCCCTACTCTTCCATCAGCCACAGGGAGCCTGTTGTGCAAACCAACACTGTTTTATTGTGAAGAGAACTTGCCTGAGGGGTGAGGGACCCACTACTCCAGAGGGACTATGGACAATGGGTGTCTGGGTCCCATGGGAGAGATGAGTCAGTGCAGTGAAAACAGCTCTGGTCATCACTGGGACCTGGGTGGTCAGAGACAGGGTCTGAGGTGCCAGCAGAGGGTATTGAGGAAGACGCTAAGCTGGATCTGGGCTCCCCCTGGCTCATCTGCAGCAGGCCAGTGAGGGCGATCAGCTCAGGCCCACTGAGCCAGGCAGTGGAGCGGCCCCGGGATGGCGTGGGGTGGACCCAGGGTGACATGACGGGGGGTGGGAGCAGTAGCTTCATGGAGCCCATCACCTGAGGAGAGAGGAAGAGAAGTGTCTCTGTCTGGCCCTGCAGGGAAGCTGGGATGGAGTGAGTGGAAGATGGCAGGTGGAGGAGCTCTCACCTGCTGAGGGGCCTCAGACAGGTACAGAGGAACACGCTGTCCACAGGGTAGCAGAGGGTCTGAGAGAAAGATATCCTCATGGCACATCACTGGGAGCTCTGGGGAGAATGCTGGGGCACAGGCCAGGTATTCCCACACCTCTGCATTGCTCCCCACCCCCGCGCTCCTAGAGTTTCTGCAGCATTACCCCAGAGACTAAGGGGACCAAGAGAAGTACCTGCATCTCTGGGTGCCTGATTGTCTCCATTCTGATGCCCTGTTGTAGGGGCTAGGGGCCTGAGGACCCTGCTGGAGGCTGCTTCATACAGAGGCCAGAATGAGGGATGACACAAGGTCCGGCTAGAGAAGGAGGCACCAGACCCACAGCTGGCCTCCTGTAGAGAGGAGGAGAGTTCTCTGGAGTCACAGTCCCTTCCCAAGGCATTCTTGCCCCCTCTGGCCCAGAGCCATAAATAAGGTCTCCCCAACTCACCCACATCAACCGAGGTCCTGCTTTAGCGTGGTAGTTGGGGTCCCAGGGTGCTAGCAGGGTCATCCTTGAGGGGGCCACCTCCCAGGCCATCTGGGGGGAAAGGGGAGCTGGGGGACACTTGAAGAGATTAAAACAGGCAGAGTCGGTGTGAGGTTGGGGGTAAAGGCAGCAAGGCCCCTTGCATACCTGGGGTTCTTAGGACTTGCTCGGTGGCCAGGCCTGGGGAGTGGCATGGCAGCAGCTGCTCTCTCTGGGTCCAGGAAGAACTGAGGGGTTGGAGCTGCCGCCTGGGAGAGAGAAGAACTGAAATGCTCCAGTCACAGCTCCTACAATCACCGTCTCAGGTACAAGCCTCCTGTCCAGACCGGGCCTGTGGTCCGGCAAAGGGTGCCTGGTGCAGGGAGGCTGAGGGCACCTATTCTCCAATATGGACAGAGGATTTTCTCAATCTTATGTGAAGCGCCACTCACAGGAACAGAGGGCCCCGCAAACCCATGTTCTCCGCTGGCTCCGGCCAAGCCCCTTACCTGTCCTGGGGGGGTGTTCCTGACTCTCGTAGGGCTTCCTCTTCAGAGCTCCAAGCCTCGCCCTGGTCACTGCCCATGGAAGGGCCTGGTTCCGCCGCTGCCTCCTTGACCACGCCCCACGGTGGAGGCGGCCAGGGTAACATGCCGTGTAGGGGGAGCGCAGGGCAGCACCGCTGTGCCCCTGTGCCCGCTGTCCTCCTCGGCCTTCTTCAGCCGCACAGCCCTGTGCTCCCCTCAGAAAACCCAGGTCGGCTGCCCACCTCCCAGGCCTCGCGTCCTATGCGCACGCGCTCCCGGCCACGTGGTGCGCGCTCCTGCAGGGCGCCCCCTGGAGGCGGGGTTTGCGCACTCCAGTCAAACCTTAACCCCGCCACCACGCACAGAAATGGGGTGCTGAGAGCAGCACAGTGGAACCTGGCTTTGGAGGCGATGTCGGCTGAGGCAACCCCCGTCCCTGGGCTGCCATCGTTTGTATGCGCACACACACGTGCGCGCGCGCGCGCGCACACACACACACACACACACACACACACACACACAGGCCAACCTAGAGGGCATCCGGCTTCTCTTTATTACACTTGACATAACATCCGGAGCTGTGTTCCACTCAGGCTCTAGACTGCGCACGAAGGCGTCAGCCCCACAAGTGAAGGGTCCCCCAGGATCAGGGCCAGGCCAAGGCCGCCCTCACCAAGTCCTTGAGAGGGCAGGGGCCCAAGCACGTCTTCTCTGTTCCTGGGGTCCTGGACTGGTCAGGCCGTGCACCCCTACCACCACCCCTAAGACCGTTCCAGCAGTGCATGGACGACAGCAGCGATGTAAGGAAGGCCCCTTCCTGGGGCCCCCTCCTCTTCCAGGATGTGGTGGGGCTGGCACAGGGACTCCTGGTGGGAGGGGCCCAGGTTAAATTCCCCCTTGTCACCCCCCCCTCCACTCGGTTTCCCTGCCCGTGGCAAGGTGTAGGAGACAGATCAGGAGTGCACTGAGTAGACACTGCACTCACAGCTTGAGGACAAATGAGACAAGGAAGCTGCCAGCTGGTAACACAAGGGGGCTAACACCGAGGGCCAAGGCACAGAGGCCAAGGCACAGGGGGCAGGAGAGGCCTGTCATTTCCAGAGGGAAATGCTGCAGCAGGCAAGCTGGCACACAAGTCCAAGGGGGTGGGCCAGGGCTGGGCCTGGCCACAGCAGGAGCAGACAAAAACAGGCGCACGCACACAGCCACAGTCTGTACAGTTTATACACAGGGACAGGAACCCAGCCTGGGCCCTTGCATCCCCTACAAATAAGAATTCTCTACAAAACAGAGATAATTTAGCCCCCATAGCAGCCAGCCATGGGAGGGAGAGGGCAGGAGCAAGAGGAAGGGCAAGATTCAAGCTCCTGCTAGCCCTCCGAGGGAACAGAGGGCAGGGGCAGAGAGGGCACGAAGGCACCATCAGCACTGAGAGTGAGGACATGTGAAGGGCTATTGGAGGGAGGCCAGAGGCTGGGGGCCCAGGGTCTGGGGACACCAGAGTGGGGCCTCTGAGGTCAGTGTCTGTAAAAGAAGGGTTCACTAGTGTCTTTGGTAGGGGCTGAAGGCACTGCCGGTAGGGAAAAGGGACTGAGCAGGAGTCTTATAAATAGAACAGGGGTTGGGGAAGGGTAACTTCGGGTCCTAGGAACCCAGGAGCCGAGTGTAGACGACACAGAGCAGCAGCATGAAGACCACGTAGAAGAAGATGAAGCCGCCCAGACCAGCAGGGGGCCAGAGGGGTGGGGGGGCCTTGCCCCCCACCCACTTCACAGCCTCCAATGTGGTCCGCAGCCCCTGGGTGGTGCCCTGGAGGAGATCCGAGGGCGAGCACAGGTCAGCCTAGGAAGGGAGAGTAGGGCAGATGGACAAGGACAAAGGCCAGACATCAGCAGCAGCCACAGCAACAAGACAGTCCTTCCCACCCCTGCCCTCACATGCTGGGGCCAGAGCCAGAGCCAGAGCCAGAGCCACACCAATACACCGCAGACGTGCAGGGCAGGGGGCGTGCAGCCAGTGCATGCTGATGTGCTTCTTTCTGGGAGCAGACACCCAATGTGAATGGAACCCACTATCCATGGAATGTGCTCAGCTGAGCCAAGCATGCAATCACTCTTTAGAGAACAGCCCCCATACCTCAGGAACCCCCATTTTCCGACAGGCTTCTAAGAAACTCTCCACATTCTTCCGTGACTTGAGGGCACTAAGTTTTGGCTGAAGTAGGTAAGAAGAGACGGTAAGAGAGAGGCCATAGGAGGCCCTCTCCCCCACTACTTCCTGCCCTGGGTCCAAATTACCACAGCAGGTGAGGGCACATGAATGAAGGGCACAGAGCGGGGTCGCAGCTGGTTGGCCAGCTGACAGAGGATGACCCCACTGGCCAGGGCCTCAGCCAGGTCCTCTGACAGGGGCCTCTGCAGCCGTGACTCAAGGATCTGGGAACAAGGGAGAGGAAGAAGCAGGTCAGGGTTGGCAGGGAAGTACCAGGATGGGCAAGGGGTAGTGAAGGAGCCTGGGTCCTGAGGAAGGACCCTCAAGGAAGAAGCTACTAGGCCCTGCCCACATAGCTCCCACTTCTGCCTACCTGGCGCAGTTGAGCCATTAATTCCTTTTTGTCTGGCCGTGACTCAAGGATCTGGGAACAAGGGAGAGGAAGAAGCAGGTCAGGGTTGGCAGGGAAGTACCAGGATGGGCAAGGGGTAGTGAAGGAGCCTGGGTCCTGAGGAAGGACCCTCAAGGAAGAAGCTACTAGGCCCTGCCCACATAGCTCCCACTTCTGCCTACCTGGCGCAGTTGAGCCATTAATTCCTTTTTGTCTGGAACCTGGGGGGATTGCCGAGGTCTCAAGACAGAGTCTGGTGAGGAAGGGCCTATGAGGAAAAGGAGGACACCTGGATTCTCTCCAACCCTCAATGCCATCTTTGTTGCTGGGTCTCAGTGATCTGGAACCCACACCTGCCTCTCTGGTTGTGGGATTTCCAATATACAGGGACAACATGCAGAGGCTCCCAGGCCAGAAACATGACATGAGTCCAGCAGTTGGTGCTGATGAGCACTGGTCAGTGCTTGCTCAGTATGCAGAAGATTGGGGACCCACCTGAGCCGCTCTGAGAAGAAGAGCGGAAGAGGAAGCTGTTTGGTCTCTGAATGGAGCCAAGTGGCCGGGGAGCAGGTGTTGTCGCTAGGGGCCAAGAGACAGGAGGGCAGAGAGATATCCCCTCAGTGTCCTACTCCTCCCTCAGGTCACCAGGTCCCAGCATCCCCTCACCCACTTACACCCTGTCCTACCTGGTTCTGCTATAGGAAGGGGCTCCTGCGAGGTGGGGACAGTGGCATGGGCTCCCTGACCCCCTGAAGCTCCCAGCTGGGTGACATTAGACTTGGGCATGCCGCTGAGGAGAAACAGAAAGGGAATCAGAAGGGTGATTGAGGAAGAGTGTGGGGGACCAGGGTTGAGGGAACAAACATACTTATAGGTGGCCTGGGTAGACGAAGCGGCAACACCACCCCCAGCAGCCCTGGACCCCAGCTTCAGAAAACTAGAAGACAGGAAAAAGTGAGGTGAGCATGCCGGTAGGGCCCACCAACCTCAAGGAGCAGAGCAGCTCAGGAGGGGCGGACAGCCCAGCCAACCCTGTGCTCTGCCCACACCTGTCCTTCCTGGGGACCCCCCACACCCCGCTCTGCTGCTGCTGCTGTTGCTGCTGTTGCTGCCGCTCCCGTTCCTGCCACAGCTGCAAGGTATCTGGGCGCCGCCGTTCTTCCCCAGCTGGCTCCTCCCGCCTGAGGGGCAAGGACAGGATCAGTGAGTGCTGTGCTTGACGCACTGGGGTGGTCAGGGGAAAGAGAGAGGGCTAGGGGCCAGGAGTAGAGGGAAAAAGTGTTGGCTCAGGGGGTTCAGGGTACCTGGTGCCAGGTGCCCTCTCTCCATCCCCTGTCACAGAGCTTAATTCAGGTGTCCGCTGCTCCTGAAGAGAAAACAGCAGAGAGGCTGAGAGAAGGCCTGCTCCCCCAAACCTGCACTGCCACCCTCACTTTAGCTCCCACCTCTCCTGGTGGAAGGACATGGTTGAACCCTTACCTCAGCAGCACTTCGTTCTTCATCCTCCCCAGGGACATGGCTGTCAATGAAGTCAATCTGCTCAGGGTCTCCATCAGCTAGAGAGACCAGAGCATGTCGACAAGTAAATGAAAGCCTCAGGCCCTCATTCATCCTCCCTGGAGCGACCCTACTACTTACCAGAGCCATCCTCCTTCCGTTCTCTTGGACCCCGAGACTCTCGAGCCAGCTCCGATATCCGGAATGACAACTCTGAAAATTCATCTGTGGACTGTAAAAGCAGAGATGCACAGAAGGAAGGTGGCCTCCCTGCTGTGCTGGGGGCTCAGGGGCACAGGGCCCATAGGGTCATGTGTGGGACTGAGGTTGGTGTCTGTTGCTGAACAAGTTCCTCCCTGGAATACTGGACAGAGAAGAGAGGATGGTTCCAGCCACTGTCCATCACTCTGAGACTTAGAGGTATGGGGTCCCCAGCTCAGAGGTTCTCTCCCAGGGCTGACCCTCAACCTCCCTTGGAAAGGAAACTCTTACCTCATTTCCAGACCACCTCTTGCTGCCACTGTCAACACTGTGGAAGCCCGAGTCCAGTCCGCCATCATACCGACGTCCCGGAAATAAATCCTCAGCAGGGCTGGGACCAGCCAGGAAGACCTGGTCAGCCCTGTGCTGGGCAGCAACCCCCTCACCCTCTCACTGCAAACCAGGGAGTCCCTGGAACCAAGAAGGGATATTAACTCTACAAGGGCTTCTTCCTTCCCACCTGGGACTTACCAAGGACTGAAACTTGGGGGGCGAGAAGGGGCCAAATCCCCCAGGGCAGACCCACGCTGCCCAGCCTCAGTGGACAAGTACTTGAAGATATGAAGTTTCCCTTTCAGGCAGATCTGTGTTCAAGGAGGCAGATATTAGAAAGTCAGGCAAGAAAGGATGACTCCTGAGAGCCAACTTGGCTACCAATGGGACCCACCTCACTCCTGCCTAGTCTCACCCTGCCCCATGGTCCACCCAGAGCCACCCCTCACCTGAGCAGGAGGGCTTTGCAGGGGGTTGCTGTCCAGCAGAATAACTTGCAGGTGCCTGAGGCGGCAGAAGGAGACCGGGATGCGGGAGATACGGTTACAGGAGAAATCCAGACGGACAAGAGGAAGGTCCCCCAGCTCTGGGAGTGGGTGAAGGAAGAGTCAGGAACATGCCAAGGAGAGGGCCTTGTGCTCACTTCCTTGCCCTCTGTTCTAGCCAACTGCTCAAGCCTAGGTCTGCCACAGCCTTTGCCCCAGATGTCTCAGGTCATTCCCCAGGAACAGCCACCCTGCCCCTCTTCCTACTCAAATCTGGTCAACCTTCCAGGCCAAGACCACCATGAGACCTATCTGGACTTCAGTTCCTGCCTAGTCCGTGTGTGTCACTTCTTGTCTCCATAACTGCCCACTCCACACTTCAATCAATCTTTCGTTCACAAGTGATCTGCACAAGACACGAATTGTGACATCCACTGCTCAAAAACCTCCCATGACATGCATCCAGGGATGCTGAGGTGAGTGGGCCATGCCCTGCCCAAAAGCATGCAGTCAACAGGTACTATACCGGCTAAGTCCTATACCCCAACAAGGTGCTGCCTATCTACAGACAGGGGTGCCTTTTGCTAACTGTCAAAGGGACATGGTCTGGATCCATTGTGACCCTAGACATAGAATAAAAATCACAGCCCCCTAATCCAGCATGGTCATGGCTTTTATGATCTAGCTCCACTCATGTTTCCCACCTCATTGCCCACCCCTCTAGTTCATCAGCCCCTGGGCCTTTCCAGGTCCTATTTGCTAAGCTGGAAAAACATTTTTCTGTCCATGCTTCTTTCTAGGTTCAGCTTAAGTGTCATCTCCTTTATGAATCCTTCCAGGCAACCAGGTTCATAGAATTCATTGCTCCTACCTATGTCCCCAGGGCATTTCACTTGGATCTCTTTATGGCCCAGGGAGAACCCTGGTCAAATGCTTATCTGTAGCCCTACTGAGACTTGGAGGAGGAGGGTAGGTACAGAAAAGGGTGAGTGGGAGATAGAGAAAAAGGATGACTCTCACTTCCCCCTTGTTCTTCAAAACAGTCTTTAGCAGGCACAGGCCTTTCCTGTCTACCCCTGGCTTACCTTTCTAACTGCATCCCACTGGACCATGCTCCCTCCCACCTCATGCTTGGCACATGGTAGTTCCTCACCCCAGATGTAGAAGGATGGGGAAATCTCCTGCAAAGGCTGGCTCCTGCTGCACCTGCACCCCAGATACCATAAGCAGAGACAAGGGCTACCTCCCCCCTCCACCTCCCTCAGCTCTTTAAGCATCCTGCTCTAGCACTTCCCTGTGAATGTCTGCTCTCCTAAATAAGTCAATACACCTTTCAAAGTTAGCCCTAGCGATCTTAGTGACATCACCTGTGTGTACCTGGTCCCCACCTAAAACACAGGAAGTACACACAAAAAAAACAATGCTGGCTGAATAAAAGGTGTGCCTGCTCTGAACAAGAGGCTATCAAATGTTAGTGCATCACAATTAGTTCCTTAAAATGGGGCTGCTTGGGTTCCAACACAAGGCCCCATCTATTCAGAATCTCTCTAGGGAGAAAGCGCAGGCCCTCACCTGACTCAGATGTTTGAGAGCTCTCGCTGAGCGAGTACTTATGCAGGGTGACCTTGAAGGCCCCTTCCAATCTTGAGTTTCTACACAGAGCCAATGCACTCACCTGCTACTCTTTCTGTGCCCATTTCAACACTTATAAAATAGAGCTAAAAATCTGTGCCTTGCTGGCCTCAGAGAATTGCTTAGGTCAAGAACAAATGAAATCATTCACTGTTTTAGATACTGCAAAATCCTAGGCAACTGGGGCATGATTCTTCCATGAAGATTCCTTGCCTATATGACTTCTCCAAGGTAGATGTTCCATTATGGATTGAATATTCATATCCCCCCAACACTTTTTTTTTAAAGAATTATTTATTTTAATTTTGTTTATTTGTTCATTTTAATTTGACCAGAGAGAGCTAGAGAGAGAGAGAAAGCGAGAAAGCAAGCCACCAGGTCCGGGACTCGAACCACAGCTGGTCATATGGGAGAGTGTCCAGAGCCTTATACACCACACCACTTGCTGGTACCCCCCCACACACACACTTTTATGTTGAACTCCTAAGCCCCAAAGTGTGATGGTATTAAGAGGTGGGGCCTTTGGGTAGTAATTTAGGTCATGAGAATGAAGCCCTCATTAATGATATTAGTGCATTTATAAAACAGACCACAGAAAACTCTCACTTTGCATCATGCCATGGGAGAATACAATGAGAGAGCCAACCAGAACTTGACCATGATACCACCCCGATCTTAGACTTCCAGCCCCCAGAACCATGAGGAATAAATTCCTAATTTTACAAGCCACACAGCCTGTAGTTTTGTCATAGCATCCCAAATTAAGACACACACATATCCACCCCTACCTTCCAGTTCTCAATTCCTTACCATCAGGCAGGGTGCTGAGTTGGTTCCTCCGCACATTAAGATCCCGCAAGGAAGGGAGGCTACACAGCTCTGCAGGGAGGGACTGCAACTCATTGCTGCTCACATCCTGGGAGTAGGAAAGCAGAGAAGGAGAAGCCTTAAGGCCAGGACCATTAGAAAATAGCCTCCCATCTCTGGCTACCTGCTTTTAATCTATGCCTTCCTGCTTTTCCCCCACATCCCTCCAAGAGGTCCCTGGTGTCCCACTCAATAGTCCCTCTTCTCAGGATCAGCAGTTGGCATAATGGCTATGTCTCTGGACTCCTATGTAGCCAACTGCAGTTCAAGTCCTGGACCTGGTAGCTTTAACTCATGCTGGGCACGTGTACATGTGTGTCCAAGATCCTGAGCGGAGAAGGGAGGAGAAGGGATTGCAGCGTGGCCATTTCCCTGGGGGGTGATTTCTCACTTTCTATCTCTGTCTTTCCGGCAAGCACACGTGCCCTATAGCAAAAACCTCTCAAAAAAAAAAAAAAAAAAAAAGTCCCTTTTCTCCCCCCATTCTCCATCCTCACAAGCTGTCGCAGGCTTCCCAAGGCGCCGATGTCAGGAGGCAGGGCTCCCAGCTTGTTGTTGCTGACAATGAGCACCCGCAGGGGCAGCTGGCAGATATAGGGTGGCAGCAATGACAACTGGTTTCGGCTGTGGAAGGGAAGAAGGCAGTGGATTCACTACCCAGACATGGTATCCCAGCAATGGCTCCTCTCAGGGTCACCAGGAGGGTGACCTAGAGTACTATGCATTGGTTGTTGAGGCTAAGAAAGACAAGCTCCCCACCTCCTGGCACTGCCTCTCCTACCTGAGGTTGAGGTAGGTGAGGGCTGTGAGATTCCCCAAGGCTGGGTTCAGGCATCTCAGGCAGTTGTGGTAGAGGCTCAGGCCCTCCAAGGATACCAGCTGGCATGCTGCCTCAGGCACCTCAGGAAACCGGTTCCGGGACAAGTCTAGGGAAAGCAAAGGTTGAGGGGAGAACTATGGAAAGGTCCATTCCTAGACAGGAAGGCCTTGAATTCTTCTTGAGCCAGCTGTCCAGCTCTCTATCCACAGCAGACCTAAAGAATCAGGCCTATAAACCTGGGCTCCCTAAACAAATAAAGCTTCTAGTTTCTTCTCTAAGAAAACATCAAATGGCAGAAGATGCCAGTGCAGCGGCAGGGCCCAGAGGCCCCAGGAGGCCATGGGATAGGAGGCCGCGGCAGCTTCCGTGGAGGATTCGGCAGTGGCCCTTATGGTTGGAGCCAGGCCGGGGCCATGGTTGGGGCCAAGGTCGCAGAGCTCGTGGAGGCAAGACCGAGGATTGGATCTTGGTCACCAAGCTGGACCACCTGGTCAAAGACATGAAGATCAAGTCCTTGGAGGAGCTCTCTCTCTTCTCCCTGCCCATCAAGGAATCTGAGATTATTGTCTTTTTCCTGGGAGCCTCTCTCAAGGATGAGATTTTGAAGATCATGCCTATGCAGAAGCAGACTCATGCTGGCCAGCAGACCAGGTTCAAGGCATTTGTCACCATCAGGGACTACAATGGCCACACTGGTTTGGGTGTGAAGTGCTCCAAGGAGATGGCCACCATCATCCAAGGGGCCATCATCCAGACCAAACTCTCCATTGTCCCAGTGCAGAGAGGCTACTAGGGAAAACAAGATTTGCAAGCCCCACACTGTCCCTTGCAAGGTGATCAGTCACTGTGGCTTGTGCTGGTGTGCTTCATTTCCACCCCCAGAGGCAGTGGCCTCATCTCAGCCCTAATGCCCAAGAAGTTGCTGCCGATGGCTGGCATTGATGACTGCCACACCTCAGCCCAGGGCTGCACTGCTACCCTGGGCAACTTCGCCAAGGCCACCTTTGATGCCATCTCCAAGACCTACAGCTATCTGATCCCTGACCCCTGGAAAGAGACTGTGTTCACCAAGTCACTGACTATCTCTTCAAGACCCACACCAGAATCTCTGTGCAGAGAACCCAGGCTCCAGCTGTGGCCACAACATAGGGTTTTCATACAAGAAAAATAATATGAATTAAGCTTGGGAAAAAAAAAAGAAAGAAAGCTTCTAGGTCAATCAGTGGCATAGTGGTTAAGGTAGCTGGATCATACATGGCCGACTTCATGGTTGGAGTTCCAGACCTGGCACCTCAACAAACATACCAGGTGAGAACCAGCGGTTAGCGTAATGGCTATGTCGCTGGACTCCCATGTAGTCGACCATGGTTCGCGTCTCGGACCCGGTGGCTTAAAACTCACACCAGGAGCGTGTGCGTGCGTGCCCAAGATCCCGAGATGAGAATGGAAGAGAAGGGACTGCAGCGTGACCATCCCCCCTGGGGGATGATTTCTTGCTTTCTGTCTCTATGTCTCTCTCTGTCTGTCTGGCAAGCGTACGCACCCTATAGCGAAAACCTCTCCAAAAAAAAAACAAACAAACACACCCACCAGGTGTGTGTGGGTGCATGCTCAAAAGCCCGAGAATAGAGAAGAAACTGCAGCATGGCCACCCACCAAAGGGATGATATCTCTCCCTGTCTTTCCAGCAAGTACAGGCACTCTTTAGCAAAAACTTAAAAAATAATAATAAATAAAGCTTCTGCAAACTGGAGTACAATGAATGGCAAGGGGAAAGAAAAGACTTTACATCACTGGGCCAGAGAAGCCTAGGCTCACAGGAGGGAAAGGGCACACCATGAATGTAATTTTCAGATAAATGAAAGCTATCCAGAAAGAGTGGCTATACTCCTATAGTTCCTGTTGCTCTGAGGTGCCAGAGGATATAGTTGGTGCTCACAAGAAAATACTGAGTCTTCGGGAAAATAATGACGTATTTCTGCGTAGAAAAATAGTCATAACTTTCCGAAGACCTAATAGTAAGGAGATGGGCTGGGAGGCTCCAGGACAGACTGTGAAAAACCCCTGGGGAAAACCACTAGGAGAATGCACCCCCTTCTCCTTCAGGGGCCCTTCCTTCCAGCCTTTTTCAACACAGGAGAGAATATAATATAACATATCCTGACTCTAGAGAATAAGTAAGGCCCCCTGATACCAGACAACAGCTTTCCACTAGCCTCTAGGACAAGCAAGCCAGGTCCAAGGGAATAAAAAATTACAGATTCCCAAGGGCTGGGAAGGAAAGGGAAGAAAACCAAGTTGGAGATGGGAGGCCCTTCCCTCAGGGCTCCCTAGGCCCAGGACAGCTTCCTTCCCTCCTCTTCCACCTCCATCGGCCGCCCTCTACTTTCTCTTTTACGGACCCCGACTGCAAGAGACTAGTGCCTCAGCATGCATCTTGGCTATGGTGAGAAGCAGAAGAGGTCAGAAGGCGGGGAGAGCGAGGAGAGTCTATCGTCACTCTCTTATCCCTAGCAAAGCCTATACCAATGCCAGGAGGCAGCTTTAGGGTTCTCCTGTCTGGAGACACTAACTGCTTCGGCCTCAAGGGGCCTGTGTTTCTGTTTCTTCAGCTTAGCTTGTACTGGGAGCGCCCCAGGGCCTGCTGGTGGAAGACTTGAGTGAGCTTCCTCGAGTGCCCTCCTCAGGGAGGGGTAAGCAAAAGCTGAAGAGAGGGGAAGCCAGGGTTTATCCCCCAAGGAAATGAGTCTTATGACAGGAAATGAAGTACAAATAATCTGTCAGGTTCTGTCTCTGGTAGGCCCTGTGTTTACCAAGGTCGAGGACAGCCTGATGATACTCCAGGACTCGCTCTGTTCTCCTCTGCCCCAACCTTGGCATGAGAGCAGATAGTTCCGGAGAGGGTAGGAGGACTGCATCTGGTTCTCCCACCCTCGCCCTCCATCTGCCTGCTTTCTCTGTGTCTACAAATGTGTGCATGTGCGTGTATGTGCATATATACACACACACACACGTGGGTGAAAGCAGTAGATCAAGTTCTGATGGGTAGGCGGGTGGCAGGGGCAAACACTAGGCACAGAAGGGAGTCCAGGCTGGAGGAGGCAGGGCACGGGGGCACAGGATGTGGTCTGTGAGAGAGTGAGCTATACTTCTCCTTTGCTAGAGTGGCCCCACCCCCACCTCAGTATTCTTCCTACAGTCAGACTCAGGGAATGGAATCCAAGGGATATCAGAGACCTGAGCCTCAGGAAATATGCAGAAAAGACACTCAGAAAGAGCTCAGAAAGCAGTTCCGGCAGCAGAGTGCTTAAGGTTTTTAGTCTGCACTGGAGGGCAAAGAGATGTGGAGGACGGGTATGGACAACTCTGTTTTTGTTACTTCCCCTTTCTGCTCCAAGCTGTGAATACTGCCTGGGGAGAGGGGACAGAGGAGAGAATTCTGTACAAGATATACCACATCTAGCCTAGAGCCTGGGCCCTGAAAGGATTTCTGCGTGGACAGTAGGGTAGAGAGGGGTTCTCAGGAAGCTGGGTTTTCCCACTTCAGCGCACAAGCAGAGGAGCACTGACTGCACCCTGGGCCGGAATGCTGGGAAGGAGGGTGGAAGGAGGCATGAGCTGGGAGGAGCCAGGGAGTTCTTGGTAGTTTTCCCCAAGAGTCCAGTCACTGAAACAGAGCCCTAAGGAAGTCAGAGAATAACATTTGGTCTTTGTCAAAACTAAAAAAAAAAAAAAAAGAAAAAAAAAAAGAAAAAAAAAAACAATACCTCTCTTCAAACTCTATTTAATATATGAAGAATAACAATTGGGAGCCCTAAGGAAGTCAGAGAATAACATTTGGTCTTTGTCAAAACTAAAAAAAAAAAAAAAAAGAAAAAAAAAAAGAAAAAAAAAAACAAGCAAGTGGGAGAGGAAAGAGAACAGACGGCTAGTGTCACACAGCTGCTGAGGTCAATCTGAAGCTCACGGGTTAGATGAAGGGGATGAGACCAAGCTGGGTAAGAATGGCTCCTGGGCTCATCCATTCTCCAAGTCCACTCACTGCAGTGGGCAAGAAAAGTGACGAGGTTTAAACTGGCTGTCCTCAGAACAGTAGGGGAAAGAGGGCACGTCTGTGCCAGCCTGAGTGTTGCAGGTGAGCAGGCACCTGCCTGAGGAGAAATTTACTCTTTCATCCAGTCCATGTCTCCCAGGAGGAGGAAAAGTCCTGCTCACACTCTAGCCCAGAGCAGGGTGGGGCTTCTGGAATGCAGTTCTCCTCCTCTTTCCTGATCCCCACCTCCCAGCTGCCAGCCCAAGGTCACTAGCTGTCTCCTAAGCAGCTGAAGCCTGACTCACCTGTCAGAGTAGGGCCCCTACCCCCTACCATCAACAGATACCAGAGTGGAAGGAGTATGATTAGAGGGATCCTGTGGGTGGGGGAGAAGGACAGACTCCAGCTTGCCAGCTCTCCTAGCCAGGAGATAAGATTTCCTTCCTTTCAGCAACTGTCTCAAATACCTTCCCAGAGGGAAAGCAGAAACTGAAAAGAGAATTCTAGAGTCCCTATGAGATCACAGGCTCCATAGTGACATCATACATGCAGGAAGGAGGAGGAGTTCTAGACAAGGGGATCAGGGATAATAGGCGGAAGAGCTCAGGGGGAAAAGAGTTAGGAGAGGTAGGAGATTTGCTTCTTTTCCATAGGCTGGCTGGGTTGAGTAAAAAGGGCCAGTGACTTCAGGGGGCGGGACTGCAGCAAAGCAAACAGAAACATCAGGTTGTTAGGAACAATCCGTGGACAGAGGGTGCATGGGGCTGCTCGGATCTTGGTGGAACAGGGGAAAGGAGTTGGGAGACGAAGACGGAGACAAAGAGGTGGCTAGAGGAACTCCCCTGGGGGCTGCTTTATGGAACGATCAGAATTGGGGTTGAAGAGATCATGCAAATGAGCCAACCAGGTGAGGGGCGGGACCATCCTACAGGTGTGTAGATACGCAAATAAAGAGCGGCGGAGGGCCGAGGGTCCTACAACGCTAGGCCAAAGATGCTAGGCATTCTGTGCAAACGAGAAGTGCGTTCATTGTCTATTGGTTCGTAAAGCCGGCAGAGTCGCAGGCTTATGCCAATCAGGAGGGGCAACAACCGCGACCGCCAGGTGAAAGGGCTGGCCAGACTTGCAGGCTGGGCGGGGAACAAGCGGGGGCGGGGCTATGCAAATGAGGGGCCAAATGGGGCCGGGGGCCCAGAAGCACTCACCAGCCTGGGTGATGTCTGACAGGTCATAACTGCGGGCCGCGCCCCGGGGGAAGTGCTTCAAGCGCCGGTTAGACAGGTTCAGGGTCCCTGTGGCCACGGCCTCCTCTAGGGCCCGTTCTGCACTGCGGCTCCCAGGCAGACCCGGAGACCCTGGCACAGAGGTCGTGGCCGCCGCCTCCTCACCTCCGGCGGCGCGTGGGGCTCCCACCGGCGCCCGC